GTTAAAGACACTCATCGCACTCAACCAATTCGTAGGCGTCCTTCCTTCTACAAGTAGTCTGATCCTCAGTTTCCAAGACTATCCCATTTCTCTGCTGTGCAGGAAGTAACGAAGGCGCTGCCCCGAGTTGTCCCGCATACCGAAAACCTAGACCTCTTTTCTGTCACGAGTTCGTTTTTTACACCGCGTTTTTCACTTTTCTTACGCTGTTAGATGGCATAAGCACTGGACCACGCGAAGAACCGATCAGGTAGACAGAGGCTGCTGGATACCTCTTTGCGGCTATACTGAACATGCAGACGCGGTGTAAAAAACGAACTCGTGACAGAAAAGAGGTCTAGGTTTCGGTATGCGGGACAACTCGGGAGGCGACATAATTGCTTTTGGGCCGCAGCGCCTTCGTTACTTCCTGCAGAGCAGAGAAACGGGATAGTCTTGGAGACTGAGGATCAGACTACTTGTAGAAGGAAGGACGCCTACGAATTGGTTGAGTGCGATGAGTGTCTTTAACACACCCGCATGGACACTCAGCGCTGGCGGCACATTATTAATTTTAAAATTACAAACATAAAACTAGCAAAAAAAGGATGAACGGAAAGGCTGAAACTGTTTCTTGAAAAAGGGTTCCATCCCAGTGAAAGCGCACCCTATACCCATGGAACTAAGGTACACAAATACACAAAGAAAGCATTCCAATCGGATTTTGGAAAATTCTAGTGTCTTCATAAGATTTTTTCTCAAGATGGCACCAGATGATTACCACACCTTTACTGCTTCTAGGATTTAAAATGCTTGTGCTAGACATTGGTTAGCATAACGCTGTAAAAACCCGGTGAGGAGAAATAAATCGAAAGAAGGTTTCACTGAAGAGTAGAATCTAAGATAAGGCCGGAAGGAACACTTCAGAAACATGGGGCATGACTGTCGGATCAACAAAAATGAACCTCTGAGGTGAATTCTCTGTCTTGTTACGGATGTACAATTCCATGCCCTCCTTGTCAATAATACTGACCACGAGTCACAATAAATAATAGTGTATGAAGGGGAACTCACTCAATCTGGCTGTGGTCGTCCCTCAACAGGCAATAAGCAATACAACCGACGAACGAGAATAGAACCACAATAAGAACAGCCCATAAAAAGGACCAAAAGAGGCCTGAACCTCGTTGGCTACGATCAGGGTATTTCGCGTTAGGAGAGCAGTCTTCTGAAAAGATAGACTCGAAAATGTATACAAAAATTTACTGCACATGAAAAATTTTGCTTTGCTTCATGGGATGAAGTAGATTCAGAACTACAGAGAAAATCCTACTCCAAATGAATTTCTTCTCATCCTCATGGGATGAGCTTCACCGATAGGAGAACAACAGCAACGAATAAGTGGTGAGGGTATTAATTTCTGACAAACTAATATAAATGTCTAGATTTTGAGACATTTGAGAATCAATTGATGCTGCCTGTTTGCCGCCACAAGTGTCCAATGGATAAAGCATGAATTGATAAAATGTGGACTAAAACGCAGCAACGACCATAACTGCGGTTGACAGCGCCAATGGCAAAACATCTTAAGCGAGCGGAAGTGGGAAACATCCAAAGAAACATTGAAAAAGTCATGAAAATTATTAGGAAACGAATCCTGAAACCAACAAAAAAATGTACCCAAAAACCAACCGCATCGATAATTTTGTGCAACCTGTCCTTCAGCACAACATGGCATACAATAACTAGTAGAGCGATTTCCATAACCCGGTGCACACGTCGTGCAACCCAATATTCCTAAACAGGTTGACAACATATTGTCATTCTTGTATGAATGCAATGAATAGTTATCATATTCAAAATTATGTCAGCAAGATTTGCTCTTGGGTGTTGAAGTGAGAGAAGCTCGTCTGTTCTTCCAAAAGTTATTGACAACGTTTCGGGCCTAAGCCCTTCTTCAGGTCACTGAATTACAAAAGTTGCTCATATTCGAAAGAACATTACCTTACATTAATTATAAAAGTTCCTCATAAAAATAAGAGGTAACGAGCTTCTCTCACTTCTACACACAAGAACAAGTCTTATTACAATGAAGCTGAGAGAACCATCTATATTACGTATCAGCAAGCTGTTGAACCACACCTGGACCTGTGCACAAGGTACACGACTGATCACACTGGTCGCATTTCCCTATAGAGTTCAGGTAGTAGCCCGCTCCACATCGTTCTTCACGCAGTACACACCGTGCTTGCACCAAGTTGGTCTCATCTACAAAGAATTGGAAATGGTTATTTGAAGAGTGTAAGTAGATTCATGTTATCAAATTTGGTCAGCTACCTTTGGAAGGTCCCAGATTTATCTAACTTTGAGTCAGTAACGAGGCGCTTCTCTTCACTGCCAATGGTTTCACATCTTTCCTTTCACAAAATATATCGTCGCAATCAGTCGGGGCGGTTTCAACTGGGGCGGAATGAGAACGCCGGCAGCTTTTCATTACTAGCTGCTCTCTTTTCAAACTGATCGCTTACCGATCACTCTCAGTAGAGTAAGGCAGCCGAACGGGCTCATTCCACCTTTCCTCACACCGCCCCGACTGATTGCGACGTCATCAACTACATCACCTATTTCTTTTTCTGACTGTGCACTTGTCCGGTTCTTTTTTACCAGGTTTATCGGTCTCCTTGCGTTATAACTATGCTGTGCCTTATTCACTTTACTAACTGATAATAGGGAGAGGTGGAAACAGATATAAAGATTTTCTAACACTGAACAAGCATGAATAGTGGGACGCTTAGATGCGCTAATAACCAGACATTTGAGGTATGCGCAAAACTGCGACTAGCAAAGCGGCAATCGGAGATGAGGGCTTTTGCCCTGACCTAAAGGGAAGGAGAGAATCAAGACAAAGTATGGTCACTTGTTCGGATAAAGGAATACCAGCTCGCATAGGCAGTTTTGCATAGGAAGCCCTTTAAATGCCCTTCCCAGGACAGAAGCGATTTAGTAGGGTTCGTTGCGGATGCTGGGGTTTATCAGGGGGGGGGGGGGGATTTGGTCGACGCCAGCCCGTTTTCCACACGTGCCAGCTTCAACCACTATTGAAATACGGGCTGGTGCGGTGCCACGGAACCCTGACACGCTTCCCGTATCCGAAGCGAACAAGAATGCACTAAATGTGGAAATCTGAATTCAGTCTCTAGTCACTGTGTTCCAGTCACTATCGGAAACTCCAGATTGTTCCTTCAGACCTAATGAAGGAGGATTTGAGAGTTTAGAAGAGCAATGTAACTACTTCGATTAAATAAAATTAACTATTTAATTTAAAAGAGACTACATTGGGTCTTGAATTGAAACTCATTTATACAAAGCTTCCGCTATTGAAATCACGGACAAAAATAGCCAATGAGCATATGAAACTTACAGTCGGGTACTTGGCCTATTCCACAAGCGTCGACGCATTTTCCATTTTGCGGAGAGTTCGCTACGTGAACGAGAAGTTGTGCTCCAGGGCATGTTTCACACACCTCAAACAGATGTTCTTGAAGCCGAAATTAGTAAAATAGTCGAGATAAACGAAACACACTATCCAAGTAGGACGAAGAGTATCAGGAAAGGTAAACAACAAGAAAGTTGGACACCACACCAGCACACCGACATGCGTCACCTGGTCGGGTTCAAGGTATTGATTACCCTCAAATCGCTTCAGTTAAACTATTGGTGGCGCCTCGAGGTATCAATCTTCCGTGTATAGTGTGGTATGATGGTTACCCGTAGAAGCGCGATAATGAACGAGGTTCTGGTATGATGGTTACTAGTTGAAGCGCGATTTTGAATGGACTGTGACTAATTACACCCTGCAGTATAGGATATTCAACTTTTCCTCTGAAATCTTAATGAACCATGGTTTGCCATTTCCTTGCACAGCAAAAAGTTCTAGCTGCTGGGACCACTTATGCTTCTACAATACATATCCCGAAAATCGAAAGGGCCTGGCTGCGTAGTCGATTTGAACGCGGCCGTCTACGCTCCTGGTGGGATGTTGCCCTTTTCGGGTAATTATAACCATGTCTTTGTCCAGCGAGGATGACAGTTGCCTCAAATGGTTATATCTCACGAGAAACGTCATCCTTCGCCATGTTCAAGTGAAGTACGCTACGTCTCCCCTATTTCCGTACTACGGAACTTATGGTAACTCATTTGCGACAATGTAAAAGTTTACGATGGGCATGAACATGATCGTGATAGCAATCATGTTGTTCTTTTGGAGCTTGTTCGCCTACTGATGTCACCGTACTGTTACATACACTGCGTACTTCCTAAGTGTCGACGCAAAAGAGTAAAGAAAAGCTTGAAGCATAAAAAAGACTGTAATGAACCTCTGCTTGTGTACACGAATGGCAATGTGACGAACACATTTTGCAGTTCTGACCATCTAAATAGTACGTATCGTCGCAGTGAGGAACACATCTGAAAGGAAAAATGTTCATGTGAGTAGCAGAAAGCTTCACAAGAATATAAAACTAAAACAAATTTGTACCACTTTACAAAAGGAATGGGTTAGCTCATGAATTCATAAGGACCAACAAAGGGTCGTGTCTTTTGCGTGCATGAAATGCGCTAGCAGTTCCTGTCACTGCGAAACTGCCCAATTTTGTGCCGATGAGGTTGGGAGAAGCTGATCAAGGATGTTTAACTGCGCACCATTCAACTCGGAGAACGAAAGATGCGCAAAACAGCTGGTAGAGATTCAAATTTGTTGGTTACGAATCAAACATATCAGTAGTAGCAAGAATAAGACTTATGCAATACGTGGCACGTTCTTTTCCAACAATATCTGGCGCTTGTCCAATAAAGCGGGGCAACTTTGTGCACAACACCCGAAGCACTTCAAAACCGAGGGGGGAGGAATCATGCCGTTGCAAATCTAGGCAGCCTCGCTGATCACCCCCATTCCTTTTCGCTTCTGCAGAAAAGAGTTTCCTCTTTCAAAGGGCAAGATTATGATCAGCTAGTTCGCGAGCTCCTTTTCCTTGGAAGCAGAGTTGTCTCTAGTCTCTCTGACTCACAGTCGTTTCCTTGTAGTTTATGACGCTGAATGCCATCCAACATCACTAAAACGCCGTACCCTACTGGAGGAGCGCCCAACTACACCAAGTTATGCTTCACATATTTGGCCCAAATGAGCTCGAACAGCACGGGGTGCTATCGCAGTTCGTGTTAGCAATTATACGGACGTTATCGCTGGACGATATAAATCCGTTACTTGCTAACCAGAGGAGGAGGCATACCGAGCATCCCTGATATGCTGCGGCTAGAGTGCGCAGGCGTGGTGTTTCAACTCAACCTGAAGGTGTCATGCTTCTGGTGAGATGTTTCCATCTTGACACAATTGTTGTCGTGTCTCTGTCCAACAGAGAACAAGATGACAGTTGTCCCAGACTGGAATATTCCACGAGTAACCAATTCCGTGCCATGTTCAAATGCCACACCTACTCTGACTCAGGGATAAAGGGTGTATCACCCGACAACATTGACAGTTGTGCCAGAACATGCTTTATGGTGTGTCATGACACAATGAGGACGAGTTGCTCATGTTCGCATAACCACAAGTGTGATAACACCCAACAGGCGTTGTAGAGTTTGAGGTAAAAAGGTCAAGTAACGTTTTTGGGTGGCTTATTGAATGTGGTGGACCTACACAATGACTTGCGCGTGCCAGCCGATGTACAACTCCGTTTTTTTTATTTCATCCTCGCACAATGTGCTATGCAGTATAATGCGCGGTAAAGCTTCGAGAAGGAATATAGGGGTACAATCTTGTGGGTGTTCGTGGGTCTTTAAGTGGTGGGGGAGGTGCAGGGCACGCCATCGCGTTGTGATCATTTTCTGAAAATTACGACCCGCTGTCGGAAATAGTAGTGCGTCTATGAACTGACCAAATACGACCTCCCTCCCTCCCATGACCAAGTACGACCCCCCCCCCCCTTGTGATGATCACAACGATGGCGTGCCATGGGGGAGGGGGGGGGGGGGTGCGGAGACACCTGTCCAAAGTGCGCCTTCTGCTAACGTATTCTATACTAAGTATAAATTCATGGCGGAGGTGGTGTAGTGGGCAGGTGCCCGCATCAGTAGTGCAATCTAAGGGCCGATGCTAGGATCAGCTTCGTTACAGCGAAAGCGGGGCAGTTCGGGGATGTAGGGGCATTTTACACTCCTACTCCTTCCATCGACGTGTGGAACCATCTAAGGAGCGATTTTATGAGCTTACAGAACTTGACCAATTTTACCAAGCCCGACGAGTTTGCTTTAGCTTTACAATAGTTCACGTGTTTCACAAGAGTGAGACTTGTAAACCGGAACTAGCAGCAAAAGTGCAAAATGCCCCAGCCGTTGCCGAACTGCGCCGCGAAAGCTTGACAGTTTACTTCTTATTAGAATCCATGCCAGCCGCAGTTGAGGGGGCCACGCAGCAAGGTAGCCATAGTATATGCCATCGGAATCAGTCGGGGCGGTGTCGGGAGGTGCAGAATGTTCCGGCCTCCTATTTTCTCTATTAATAAGAACCAGCTAGTGATCGAATTATGAAGAAAGCAGCCAGTGGTGAAAGCGATGCAGGTCTCTTGACACTGCCCGTCTGATTGCTAGTTATTAACGGTGCTGTTCTCAAGCTCAGCCTCAAAAGAGTGCGACAACCATTGCCCCAGCGGCTAGTTTTGCCGCATGGCCCCTTCAACCTTAGCCTTAGGTTCATAATATCCAGAAATTTTAGCGAATTACACACTTGAATCCATTTCCGGCTTTGTTTCGGAGTGTTTGTGTGAAATGTTTACATCGGAAGCATGCGACAGCTGATTGACTCTCGGAACATCCGCCATCACATTCTGGATGGCAATCACCCGCCGAGCGAAGATCACCGAACGACAGCGGCTCGACTTCATCAATCTAAACAGAAAACTTACATATGGGTATCCGCGGAGAACAATCTTAACCAATCCCTTTAAGATGTCTTGAACAAACTCGTACACAAACGGGTGGACAGAACTGTGAAGAGGCGGATGATGTATACGATACAACCTACTGCTCTGCTCAGCCCTCCACAGCTTTTGTGCTCGTGCTTGTCCAAGTTCATTTGATATTTCAGAGGATTAGCCTGTATTAGTTCATGCACTCAGTGAATATAAACTGGACATTTTAGGTTCAGGCGGTTGTGATACAGATTGGGACGATAACACCCCTGCTGCCACCCTTTCTTTCATGGACCAGTTCACGTTAGTTGTCATTAGGAATTTATGATTTTCAGCACTCAGTATTTTTTCATGTTTTTTTTTCTGATACAAACCTTTGAAAAACCAGTTTTTCAGGTGAAAATTCATTAATTCATCGATAAACATCTTCAGAAACGCCTTGCTCCCTCGACTATCGCAATCTGTTTCTTGCCGAGGTCATCCCAGTCACCCGTCAAGTTTTTTTTTCTGCCACAGATTCCATCGAGAGATGGTCGTAAAAGCGATTTTGGAAGCAACCCTTCCTTTTTTTGTCTACGCTGTTCTTTCTTGGATTGATTCCAGAAGTCTGTGATTTATTCTTGTTGAGACCATTTCATCCTCTGTATGCTCTAGTTCGCTGCGGACGACAGGGCGTGTCAGGCAGTATGAGCGTGCTAAGGCGCTAAACCCGTTCTCTGTCAGTTATTGGCGGGTATGCGACAACAACTGGTAGAAAACTAGTGATACGAACCTTTTTTTCACTTGCTCGTTTCAACGACTGAAGGAGAACCGCTCTGGCACCGCGCCGAATTCATCCCGCCCGACACGCCCCTTCGTCTGCAGTGAACTGAATGATATTTGAGCTCCATTCAATTCAAGCATTCGTGCAGAAATGTAGTGGTCGTTCAGTAGTTTGCCCGTGACAAGAAACACACTACAAGTGCGAGTGGGAACAAGAAGTTTCAAGGAATAGTAACCTGTTCAGATGAAAACCTCCGAACATCACTTCAAAACACTTGGGGAAGAGTTTCGAGAGTGTGCGGTTTTTTTGTGTACTTCACAGATCATGAGGTAAAGCATGTTGCTGCGCAGGCTCAAACGCTGCCAAACAGGCTTTTATGAAGTAATGAACTTTTAAATCGAAGTGGTTGAAACCGGAACTGTCACCATCAAGAACACCACTAACCACCGAAAGTGAACCCTAACCAGGAAGCGAATGAAATGAAACACAAAAATGCAGAAAAAGCCACCCAACCACCAACACATCCACCACAACCATCACCATCATCACAAACGCAACAGAGAAAGGAGCGACGTCGCAAGATCGGACGGTAAGATCGAAGAAGGTGAAATGGAAATTAGAAGGAAACTGATGATTAAAGCACCAGGTATACGACCACAACACCGACACACCGTAACATTTAGAAACAATTTATTCACAGATATATTTTCTTTATAAAATTGAACTCTCAAGGCACGTCTCTATTGAAATGAATGATGAATAAAACGGGTGCATCAATATGGTACAAACATACACAAACACCACAACAACTACGATCATGCAAATTCGACTGCGATCGATCTCAGGAATTCGTCTTGCAGCATAATAATTGAGAACAAGTATATTATTTATATTGGGTTAGAGCTGCGTTAATATTACGTAAAGAATGGATATAATGTGGCAATGTTCGATTCCTAAAACTCAACCGTCTGCCAAAATAATAGCAATATAGAACCCTAATTTCTTTACAAAAAAAGGCAGGAGAAAAGGGGATTCATTATGGTATTCTCAAACTGCTACTTAATTACTAAAGTACTCATATTTTAGTGTGACAGTGTGAGAACATAAAATCAGGGCAGGGCAAATACGAATACGACTCATGTTCAAATCAAACCTGACATATCAAATGCATTCTATAAGTTGAGAGAAAGATAATAATCATTATATAATAATAAGAATTCTCCTTCACACACCTCCAAATGCTTTAGAAAAAACCGCATTGAAATAACTCTGCATAAGACTGTACTTCGGTGGCGGAGACTAAACACAACAGCTAACCACTCTCCTTTCTAATTTATACTCTGCTCTCCACAATACAATAGGTAAAACGTAAGGTTAAAAGAGGATACGATAGTGAGAAGCTGGGTAAATGGACGGAAACCAATACATGCGAGGATGCGGTCAGGGTAAAAGGAAACAACAAAAGTGCAAAAAACGACAATATGGTATATCGGGGGTATGAGGAAAGAAAAGGAATGACCAGAAGTACACGCAAAGCAATACCCTTGTAATGTGACCCAGCACGCGCTTATTCACGACTTACATTTCTATCAGTTTATTCCTATCTCACTAACAAGCGCTAAAGTGTGGCTGAGCACAGTTTGTGACGTCATGCGACTCGTTTTTTGGATAATTTAGACAAAATGCATCTTTTTTTGTGATATACCATCCCCGCAGACAGAATCCTTCAATAATATCTATAGACATTATTGCTAGAGTGGACACGTCTCTGAAGTAGACCACCCTGTGATTCCTTCCCCCAACCAAGACTTAGGCTCTGACCGTGTTCGGTTCGCGTCTCAGGGCACATGTCAACCGGAAGCCTCTCCTCTCCTTCCTTTTTTCTCCTTCCTTCTTTTTCTTCCTTCCTTCTCTGATCCCTCCTCCTTTACCTTCCCCTTCAACTGCTGGACTGGTAGATGCCCCGTGAAATTAGCCCTGGACCCTCGCAGCGAGAGATCGTCTGGTTGACATCTGCCCCTTAACCCCGTGTTCGTGCGACCACGACAGGGGGTGCCCCATTGCCAAGCGTTACGCCGCCTCGGCAGAATTCAAACTGGCCCGCGTTCACACAGTTCTAATTTGGATTGTGCAGCTGCTGCGGAGCACGGGCATCTTAAGACACTTCTCAACCGTGGAACCTATTTCCTTTTCTCTTCCTCCTTTTTCTTTTCTCTCGTTTCTTCTCACTTCCCTCCTCCTTTTCCCGCTGGGCCAGTAGATGCAAAGAGAAAATACCTCTGGGCCCTCGCAGTGAGAGCACGTTCGGTTGACAACAGTCCCGTAACCCGCAGGGCGGTAGTGCGCCCCGGTCGTGTCGCGCGATCCGATCGCAAAGTCTAAACGTGGTCCTAAGACGCTCAGGGACGCGTAGATTTCGTACGCTTTGCCCACGGTGTCTCTGCCCGCGTGCGCTCTGAGCCTAAGCATTGGACAGTGGAAGAGAGGGAGAGGCGCTGTCACGTAACCCTGCTCGTCTACTCTAACATCAGAACATGAGAAAGAGGTCTAGTTAAGGAGAAGCAGACGCGGCACTGCACGCGAGCTAGCTGGATCTTAGCTAACTGACAGGATTTAGCAATAGCCTCAGCTCCCCTTCCCAGAAATCAATAACCGACAAATTGTTTTATCCCAAATTTTGAGGATCACAGGTAGAACATTTTGTAATTAAAGCCACTGAGTAACGTGCGCTACTTTCTGATGAGGGCCATGCGGCGTCATACCTTCTCTTCCCTTAGCTCAGCCTTCAAAAAATCGCAATGACAGTGCTGGCGCGCGGTACCGTTATGGGGCAGCGTTCAGACTTTTCGACAACGCGCATTGACGCTTTTCAATTGCAACAGCGCTCCAATCCAACAGGAACGCAGCAGCAGACGAACATCGATCGGCACCGGCCGCTTGGGTTTTGAGAGAGGGAGTATAGACATAGCAGGAAGGCAGGAGCCGCTTCCTTACAATCTGGTACTCCCTGTTTCTCTATACTCTCCTGGAGCACTAGCAGCCAGAGCCAATTGATGACACCATTAGGTGACGCGTACCCTCGTGTTACATATACTCTCTCAATACACAAGCTGTCGGCGCCTATCGATTTCCGCCTGCGGCGTCATTCGCACCTGCAGGATTGGAGCGCGGGCGCAATTGTAGCGCGTCCAACCGCGTAATCGCGAAGCCTGAAGGTGCCTGAGGAATATAGAAGCGGAAACGGTCGCGACACCGCGTTCCTCCCATCGATTACAGTACCACCGAATAATGAATGCGAATGGCAATGATCCTCAAATTTTGAAACAGAAGAAAGCAAATTATCAGTTTTCGGATTTTTGGGATGAGAAAGTGGACTAAACGATGTGGGACGTAGTTGCCTGACCGAGCGGTTTTTACGCCATACTCATTCAAGCAAAGAATGCTGGCGCCGCGCCTCAGACGGTCTGTACTACACATAGGAAAATGAAATCATTTTGAACGAAAAAATGCTTCGCATGACGGGTCGATAACTGTGTTCAACAACTCTCCAACGTGTATCATTTCGAAATAGGATAAACCACTTCCAATCAGCCTGAGCACCTCTTGAGACCTTCAGGAATTGGCAAAACGGTAAACGCAAAAGAAGGCTATACCTGGATGTAGCTCGGGGCTACTAGTTCTAGGCACTCTTCAAATGCTCCGTATTCCCAAAACTGAATGTTCACAACTTGCACTCGGGCAGAATGGAGTCGTGTGTCTGTGTGTATACACTGTGTATCCGAAGATGAGGCGAATAGTAATTGCGAATTTGGTGGCTTGGTCCAAGGATTAGTTGAAATTAGTCCTTAGTCATCAATTTCAGCTCTCGAGTGCGTACCCTTGCTCACACAGCGTTTTCGAACAACCGGTAAAAAAACCGGACCAACTGTGTACCACTCACAAAGAATAAGCGGCTCACTCAACACGGAGCTCCTCGTGAGGCCCATCCTTGGGTTGTAATAAGTTCTTTCGCACCTTTGGCGCCCACATAACAGCGGTTCTTTGCCTTTTGGCGCTCTAGCCTTTCGCAGCGGGACCATGGCAGAAAGCTGACGTTGTTAATTGGGCCACCTTTATACATTGCTGCAGCGTTCACCGTTCCGAGTGTACACCAGCGCCGGCGACTAGGGGGGTATAGATATCGATCTAGCGGGCGCCAGACTCTACCAGCGTCCTCCAGCGTACGACAGCGATTTCGCGGCCACATTTGAACTTGAGCAAAACTCTGCTGCACTCTGGTGGACGCTGGCATTCGCTCAATTTATATCCATACTCTCCTAGCCACTGTTGGACGCCGGCGGACGCGGACGGACGCTGGTGGGCGCTGACGCAAAATATGAACGCAGCCTTAACCGGCAGCGACGCCGCGAAATTGTGGGAAGACGATACTATCTGCTGTTTGTCGGCGAGTTCCACTAATCACTAGTAAACTACCATCACCATAGGTGACTTATAGACATAAAGCCTGGCCAATGGGGGAGGGGGAGGGAGGGACGGATTATCGGGAATGAGCAGTATCCAAAGGATAACGCCACGAAAGCCACCATCCGCAGTTACAGCCTCGCTTTCCCTCGAATACAAGATGTATGTTTGTGTGAATGTAGATCATCTTTATACCGTAATCAGTAAGTGAATGCATTGTTTGCGCTGTATGGGTGTTCGTGATGCAGCTGCAGCTGAGTGGTTTGAGATACACCGTTAGAGGTGGCAGTGGAAGAGGAGGAGGATTCGTCGATCATCATTGAATGAGCTGCAGGAAGCGGTGTGGTGGATGAAGGAAGAGGTGGAGTAGCGCGGCGGCAAGCGATCGCTGCCGATGCCGCGATCACTACCAGAACGACCGCTTGAACGACCATCATCATAACGGGAAACGTTATCTGGAGAGAATACGCATCGCATCTCATCGCACGGCTTACCGCACGCTTATGTAAATCGTTCGCGCAACACAGCGGAACAGTGTGTGCGACTCAGTGTTGTGGTCGTAGTTGACGCCAAGTGAGTGATGTAAAGCCCTATCACCGAAAAAACCCCATGCGAACAAGAGGTACGTTTCGTCAGGAGTAGAGGGCACTTCTGGTTGACTAGTATCGTCGATATCTTTTATGTTGCCATTGACGCAGATCCACCCAGACCCATTGGTGCGACCTCGGACTGAACACCCATCGGCCGGACAGCTGATTGTTATGGAACGGGCGCTGTGTTCTCGGTCGCACAAACGGCGATCGTTGTGGCGCTGTCGCAACACCCGGTATCGAGAATTGACGGGTGCGTGAGAATGCCATCGGACGCTTCCGAATCTTCTGCAAGACACCAACAATACGGACAGCTAACCACCACCAATTATGCATCATTCACAGGTTAGATGCAGCAAACAATAAGTAAGCACAAACAGAAAAGAGCAAGCCAGCAAACAACACTTGGCACCACTGGTTCCGCTGTATTTATTTCTTATTTATGGAACGAATGGGCACAGGTTTAGTAGGGCAAGCGAGCAGTTTCAAAGGTTAGGGTTGAAGCAGGTTAAATGAGAAAGCTGATGTGCTCAGGCAGGTATTGGAGCAAGCAAATTCACAAAGCAAGCAAACATAACATTGAGCGTTAGGTACGCTTATAAGTATGCTAATTTAGGCAAAAATCACGCCACTTCAAATGTGCATCACAACTAGTTCAACGTGAATGAATGCGAAGTTCGTACAACTTTTGCTAGCGAGAATATTTACTAATACCATTTGAGTACGCGCTTCGCTACCATTCGATTCAATCTACTTTTATCAAAAGATTTAAAATCCGACCTGGCTCGTAAGCTGATGTATCCGACTCAGTACCGTTTGAGAGGGTACTGGGGTTGGTGGATGGACCGTATCACCCGGTTGCGCAGGATCCGCGGTACCATAGAGAAGTAACGTCCAGTCATGGAAAGTGCCTGAAAGATCAGAACTTTAAAATGTGTATGAGGCCTTGAGAAGGATAGTGGATAGTCTTCCCAGTAGATTAATCCGATGCGGCACGCATTCCGCTTCCATTCAGAATCGTAGTAACTTTTTGAAGGCTTATACAATGACTTGCGGGGGCCAGCCGATGTACAAGTCAGTGTTTTATCCTCCCAGACGAATCTGGTACCAATTTACCGTCCCCGGAGGGTAGAAGGCTTGCTTGGCCTGGGCGGGAGCTGATCAGGGATTTGATCCCCGAACCGTGAGCGTGGTAACCATGCCACTTGCCATACACCGCTTCCGCCTCATGTAGAGAAACCTCAGGTTTGAAATGAATTGAAGAAAAAATAAACTAAAAATCACCAGATGCCGAAGGGTTGTTCGTGACACTCTCGACCATCAGGACCCACGTTCCACGAGGATCTTCACCCCACTGCTGTACTGATAGGAATGGCCATTTGTGGAAACCATTGCTGTTGAAATCCTGAAAGAAAAAACTTATTTTTCATACCATCCTATAGCGCGGATAAAAGTGAATGCGTTCAGCAGCATTGTTCTATCGGCAGATCAAGAAGCCTTACGGACATCCGAGGCGTGGCATCGCATGCAGTCCAGCGAAGTATTTCCTTACTAGTTGATTTTACACTACAGGATTGCTAGGTTGTAAGCTGGGCCCTGGTGTGAATGCCGCGCACGTGACACTATTTGCAAAGATTCTTTCGCGGGAGACGGTCAAGTTAATCGCAATTTCCCGCTCCGTCGCGTGGCGGTTTCCTCAGCTGGCATAAGCTTGTCGAAAGAAACACCACATTTCATGTAGACTACGACATAGACATTTATGCTAAATCTTAGCCATACATTTCGCTATCTACAACCTAGAAAAGTCAGTCGCGGGTGCCACCTCGCACGCGACGCCCAGCAGCGCCACAACTTACGACTACCTTATCACATGCCACTCTTAAAGGCAGTTGGCACGATAAATCCCCAAAGACGAGTAGGATTGATACGCCTGGCAGGGCGGATTTCCGCGACCCTGAGCAGGCGCTGCATAGCGGTTTTTCCTAGGGAGGTACCCTTATAAGGGTCCTATCAAGCTACAACATACCGACCCAAACGCCCACCACGCCCGCCCGCCCACAAATGGACGACCTTACCAGATGCTCGTTTTGCTTCATTTGCTAAAATATGAAGCGAAGGGAATGGTATGAAGCGGCTGCAGTGCTGAATGGATATATGAGTACATACATGCAGCCGTACCTACCGGAGCGGTTATTTGCAATACGCCTACGGGAAACTCGTCCGAAATTGCTTCTCAAGAACGAAGGCTTTTCTTCGCAGTTTTCGACCGTTTCACTTCGTTTTTTCGCCATTTTCCCACTAGATAGCGCCCTGCTAGCATTTTAGGCTGAGTACCAAATTATCGTGCCAACTGCCTTCAAGCCGCTAGGAGCCACACCAAAAGAAACAAAAAAGCAGAGTGACGAATCTAGCCACTGCGCTATACGTACGAAAACGAACTACAACGAACCTGGGGTCTAGGAGGAAGGAGTACTGATCTCGTTCTGGATGGCGAGAAAAGGGTGAGTTTCAGGTCACCGCGTTTTGAGTACCGAACTATAAATCGCAATATCATATGATAAGTAGGAGCGAAAAAATCGCGGCTGAACACCACTAACCAGTAGCATGGACTTGAACATGTTCCAGGTAGAGCACTGGTGTTCCAGACTCACAACCATTCACTTCCAACGTGAAATTCATTTGGAAACGACCTTGTATCGGACGAGGGCTGAAAAAAGCATATAAACACGACTGTGGAGGACTAAAAGACTGGAGACATACTTTGGAGCTGCAAGCTTGTATTCATACGTGCAAATATGCTGCTCAGGAACTGTTCTCCAAGTCTTGGCCAACTTCACAAGGGCACCTCCGTCCATCAAACCATAGCCAAACCTGGAAAAATTCTTGTTAGTAAGTTCTCAGTCTCACTACTGCGGTGCGATGGAAACAATTCCACAGTTATCAACGACGCTCACTTGTTGCTGATCATTCTTCCCACACCGTTTTGGGACCAGCCGGGATTACCCAGAAGAGGTGTAGGGTTAGCTGTCCGAAGAACAATATGTTGCATGTCTCGCCACGTAAGATCAGGGCTGAAAGTACATAACAATAGTGGACCGTGACAGTTAAGGAAGAGCAAATGACCCACTTGGCTTCTAATGCCAGTGCTATGATACCGGCAGCTAATGGAGCTGATGCACTAGTTCCTGTGTGCATTTTAGTGCACCCTGATGGAACATCGACAGTTACCTGAACAAGTCAAATATAGAATGAGGTAATAAGACATGGATTTTGAATTTCAAAATGCTAATGAACCTACAATAGCCGGCTGATTGATATTCGCTGAACTGTACGTAGTGGCAATTGACGAGGGACACTCCTCCAGATACCATGGACGACGATTATCATAGGTGGCAGAGGAGATTGACAGAGTGTACACTGACGTGGTGTATCCATCAGCCGAACAGGAATCTTGCCTGAAATCAACCATTTCTTGTAGTCAGCGCAAATTTTCGTGCCTTTTATGCACGATTTTAAGCCGCTCTACAACCAGCCTGGGTCACTGCATCAGTGGGTTCTTGCGAGCCAAACACTATGGAGTCGAGTTTCGCTAGAAGTCGAGTTTTGCTAAGCGAATTTCGCCTTCCCTCCCTTCGAATTTAATTGTAGTGTAGTTCGCTGCGGACGGTTGGGCGTGTCAGTGCTGCGCGGTGCCAAACTCGTTCTCCACCAGTTGTTGAAGCGGGCAAGTGACAATACTGTATCATATCCTTCGTATTACTCGTTTTCTACCACTTTTTGTCGCATGCGCGTTTCAACAAGAAGGCAGAGAACGGCTTTGACGGGGTGACACACTCATACTGGCTGACACGCCCAACCGTCCGCAGCGAACTAGATTGTAACTGTCACGCTCAACTAGAATCATAGTAGCTCTTGTGGCCCCTGACAACGGAAATTTCTATTTCGACACACTCAGAACCTTGACTAGAGATTAAATGCGTTGGCCACCCCAAATGAGTAACAAATATACGCGATTTTTACACTTCACTTCAAGGGAAGTCGCACTGTAAACTAATAATATCATTCAAAAACAAACTGTACGCTCATACACAGAGTGCGCAGGCGAGTAGCGCGCTCGGCTATGGCTAGGCGTGTAAATGGGCGCGCGGCAGCGCAGGGAGTATGGAGACCATCATCAAAAAAACCGAGCGATCTAGACCTAACGTTCATAGTCAGCCATGCCTCTCACAAAATTTTCCCCTACTATGATCCATTTTTCCAAGAATCTGAGTCATTTTAGTGGAATTTCTCCATAGAGATACCACTCCAAAAATCAGAACAAGGTCTGAAAGACTAAAGACTCGACAAAATTCTATTCTGATAGATTCAAAAGTTCTTCTACGCTGGCAACAGTCTACGAATTCCTATGAATTTTTGAAAAAAATTTGTCTTTTATTGTTCTTTGGTTCTGGAACTGGAGTCAGAGGCTCCGACATCGACTACTATTCTCCTACTATGACACACTTCAGAAAGTTCACGTTTTTTTGAGATTATGGAAAAAAGTTCTTACGGATCAAGGCTGGGGCGAGGGCGAATAAATAATACCAAAAAGGTGTTTATTGGGTAGATTGGAAAGAGGTCAAAATACTGGAAAGAGGTCGAAAGGTTCCACCTTTGATTTCAAAAAGGAACTTCCGTGAACACTCTTATAGGATATCAAAGCCAATTTTTTGATTACATATAACAAACCAATGATTCCCTCACGATTTCTCTCTCTCGTTTTCGCTCTCGGCAGCCCTTGACAATGCACGTGTGAATGTGAATTAATCCCACTGAACGATATTTTTCCGGGGTTGGACACCTTATCGCCGCATATCATTGGATGTTTCTTCGCTCTGAAGGGGTGGGGGTGTGGGAGAAAGCGTTCTGCTATTTTGCCAGTTTCTTCAGGAGAGTTTACGAGTTTTCACAAGCTGGTCTGATCAAGTTCCTTTGAATCCCATTTCACAAATTCGCAAAGGCTTACAGGTTTCTACGTCGCTGGAAACCAGTGAGATGCCAACCCTCCTTAAGTCGAACGACATATATAATTGCACATTCTCCCTTTTACTAGAAATCACATTACAAGTCCAGTTCGATTTCTCAGGAAGAGTTTTTCAGTTTCAGCAGCGAACATAGAAAAATCACTTTTAATTGTCAATTGCAGAAACATTATTACGACAATGTGTTGTATGACGGATGACAGATTGGGCAAACAAGCACGTTGTTCAACAATTTGTCATCTCGTATTTATCGTTCCACTATTGTCGCTCAAACAAAAGCTTACAATAGCACTTTTTTTTCTGATGATTCGATAGTAAGCGTGACTTCTTCTTATGTCTTTTTGAAACAAACACAGGTTTACACTCCCTTTTTCTTAACACTGTTTTCATGCATCTTGAGATTGCAGCTCAGACAATAAGAGAAAAATTCTGAAGTGTTTCACCATGATAACTGTGACTTGTCACCGCAAAACACGATGCGACGGTTATCAAAAGAACCCTGCGCAATGGGTAAAACGCTTTGACCAGCCAGGAGTCCAATCTGAGCGCTGACCGATGAGCTAGGCCATAGGCCATAGCGCTGATGGTGACAGGAAAGAAGCGTTTCCTTTGTAGGAATGGTTAGCGCACTTATCAGGTAAGCACTACAGCCGGGTTCGGGTCCTGGCATCCAGCAATTTGGCCCTATTGTAATTCGGCGCAGTTCGGCTTAAGAGGGGCATTTCGCATTTTCGCTAGTTCCCGTCAGATTACAAGTACCCTTGACGGAGCCTGTAGGCTCTTGTCCAAACAAGCTTCTGCTTTCGCAGTTTGCAGGAAATTTCAAGTCTTCACGGGAGGCATCGCACGTGGGAATCAGCAAAATGCTCCCACGTTGCCGAACTGCACCGATCATTGAGCACGCTCTTCACATTTTTCGCTGCAATATTGAAAGTACCCCAGAGCAAGCTCGAAGCGATTTTTTTTCTTTTCACAGATAACAACGATTAATTAGTTTCGTTTCCACATTACGAACGCAGGTCTGACATTGACCACCAAATTTATGAGCTTGGATGGGTTAAACTTAGTTTCTCAAAATTAAGGAAGAGGAATCGGGGTCTCGGGGTGGGGGGGGGAGGCTTCAGGTCATGAATCGCTTTTTTTCGAAACAGTTCCTTGTTTGTCGCAAGGATTCACGCATGGACCACAAAAGTGTAGTTCGTTCTTCTGGGAATGCCAAAAAGGGGTAAAACAAGTTCCGTGAGACGAACATAGTCATGGTAAGGATTCGACTATGAACCCGTGGTTCACCCTTTCCTTCGCATTCCACAGAAGCGCGCTGGAAAACGAACGCTTCATTCGCACGTGGTCCTTTGTGGCCCATGCATGCAATGCTACAACACACCCCTATACCCCTAAACGTGCACTAAATCGTTTTAAAAAGCGCTCATGACCTGAAAGACCCTGGCTGTCAGGGAGCATCAGTGGGGCAGCTAAATCCAGAAGGCTTCTCTTTGGGCACTGATCGAAAGTATGGAGTTGCAATTCGCAGCAGTTGAAAAAAACAACAAAGTAACGACACATCTTCATGCATCCAGATAATGCGTACTCACCTCGATCCGCCATTTCCACTTGCCCACACAAAAATGTTGCCTTTTCCTCTACGTCCACTCTTTATTCCTCTATAGAACGCTTCTCTAGCCAACGGGCCTGGTCCATCAAATGTTTTACCATCATCCTCTGGACCCCAACTTGCTGAGTAAATATCGATATGGTCCTAAATGATCAACAGGAAATAGATCGTACGCCACGATTCGAGATGAAAAAACACTGTGACAATTTTTTTCTCGTTTTTTTTTCTTGCTTACATGGCTTTGAGCGCTATCGAGGACCTTTCGAATTTCTCTTAAGGAATAACTGGATTATTCAAAAGGTTCCCTTTGGTACCAAAACTTACAGAAACCAATATAGCTACGGGAAACTTCATAGAGGGCTACCCATTTTGACAAATTTCATAATCTCACCTGATTCAATGATAGTGATGCCGCTTCAACACTGTCCGAAACAGCGCCATCAAGCATACGGACCTGGAAAACATCCAGGGAATTGAAAAACGAAAAAGGACCAGATGCAAAAACCCCTTACCCCTCCGATTTTTGCTTTGAACGCAACACCAACTCCGCAATAGTTGTTCCCAGCAATCGCAGCAACTTCACCGGCACATCGTGTACCGTGTCTGCAATCAATCACTACACTAGAAAAACAGAGCTTTATCGTCAGAGCAACTGCTGGTCAGGACATTCCGCAAATCATCGACCATCGAAAAAACCCACAGGCTAGCCACCACAGGACAAAAAAGAGTCAACAAACAAACAAAAACATTTCAGATATTGTAAGCCGCAATCGGCAAACAAGTTGCAATGGTCGAGGTAAATAACAGTGTGTGAGAAAAAAAACTCCGATAAGGTGAAAAAACACTCATGGTAATACAAGACCTATAGCTGCGAAGCAATGAGTGGAGAGGTAGTCAGCGCAGAAGGGCAGTGGGCTGCCAACACTGCAAATCCATCCATAGATACTCATGTAGGAGCTCCGGATGCCAACTTAGTAGGTCCTACATGAGTATCTATGGGTTGCTGTTTGCTAGTATTATTATTATTATTATTAAATACATACTTGTTGTCACCGTTGTTTTGCGGTGTCGGATCATCATCGTGGTCATTGATGTCGGTGCTTGCCAAAGGGTCATAATTGGTCACTAAATCTGGATGATCCCTGAAATAAACTAGCACTTCAACTGGACGAGTCAGTCATTCATATCTTGCGTCACTGTTAGGCGTTCGTACTTTGCGTCACCGTGTTGAGCATACAGCGATTGACCGCCAAACGCTGGCCTATGCTCATCCTTATCTATATTTTCCTAATCGTTTAAAACGCTGCCGTACTGTTGTGCGCTGGCATACGCTAGCGGACGCTCAGAAGGCTGCCTACGCTCGAAACGTTGATGAAGTATGAACGGACACTTTGAGAGATGAAAAGAAAAAGAAAAATGGTTTCCAAAAACTTGACTAGCCTTTGGATTCCGTCATCAAGTATGGAGACAGATACATTACGACCAGCATAACCAAGAAGCCATGCCTCTCGCACATTCATATCATAGTTGCCTACAGCCTTACCCACCTGAATCAAATGATCTACAGTGATGGAGGATCTTAAAAAACAATTTTGACCGTGGGTAGCAAACTAACCAAGTACCACTGATCTTGATAGAGAGGGTCTGGGAATGGTAAATGAGGAATTTCACGAACAGCTTGGCGTCGCCGCTTTGACATCTCACGATTTGAAGACGACCGTCTCAAACCCAAGGACTCTCTCTTTGATAACCGCCGCTCTTCTTCCTAAAAATTTGAGAAGACTTAATAATGTTCTGGAAGAGCTTCAAGCGCAGGGTTAGCCCGGTGAAGCTACGTTTCAAGAGATACTCCTGTTCGACGAACTATTTATTGTTTTATGCGGAAAGGCATATTTCGAGAAAGGCGATCCACCCTCCTAAAGGATGTTTCCCCTTCCATAGCTGAGGGAGAAATCTTTTGTATTTGCCTGCCTGCTATACTAGACCAGGCACTCCAACTGCGCGATTATACACTTCAAATCCCAACGATGTTACAGGTGTGGCTGCGCACTTCATCTAACTGTGGAGACAAAATATTTTCATTTCAATACAATTTTGGTCGCGTCTCTGCCCCAAACAGAACAAGATGACAGTTGTCTCAAACTGAAATATCCCACGTGTAACCCATTCCATGCCATGTTTCAATGCCACGCCCACTCCGCCTCAGGTATAGAGAATGTACGAATAAGCACAAACTTGTTCAAAGATACCTCTATAGGGTGAGAATCATCGCGAAGATAGTCTCGTTTTGTGCGCCGTCGCGCTCTTTGTTCTGAAAGCCATTCAACGGCAGGATGTGCATCCAATCGTTTCACTGCCGACCGTTTCCTTCGACGAGAATGTGACTCATCATTATGATACAGGAAATAGTGACTATCAAGAAAGGGTTCACCCTGAAAAAAGTCAGTTTAATATGAGGAAAATATTCCCTGAATAATCATTTCGCAAACAGTACAGCGTTGATTTGCGTCACAGTATGCGCATAGCGCGCGCACTGCTTGTTCTGCACCAACCCTCAAAAAAAGCTAGCCTTTGACAGCTGCGCAATCTGTAACCGGTATGAGCACATAAAACAGTGCCTCTAACAGTGACAGACCCACAATGCAAGGTTTCGGAATCAAACAGATATCGAATGCGTCTATAAATGCGGAGAGTGGTGGAATTCGCTTACCATGCGTTCAGCAACACTCTGAGAACGTTTTACTTTCTCTATGAAGAGAAACTCTTAGGCAGGAATGCTGAGAAAAACCTCGCGCTATGAGAACGAACATTGTGACGTGCAGTAAAAGTCCCGCAGATCGCAAGAAGTGTTCACCCAATACATTTACTCAGTCACTATCCCTTCAATGACTATTCGACGAACGATGAGAATCCATTACTCACCCTATCTTTGCAAAAGAAGTTCGTTCATCAAGGACGGAAAACCTTTTACTTCCCCGACAGATACTGGTTATGGCTTTCTCGGAGAATTATTTACGTAACCTTGAGACTGTCATCGACGGGAACTGCAAAGGAAACGCAAAATCCCGCTTTAGCGCAACGAAACGAGTCTCAGGTACCGTGGGCGCAGTGAAAACAAGCTTGGCCCGTTTCGCTTTCACACCGCTGCACACAAATAAGGACAGGTGAATCGTGCGTGCAGGGTCAAGTGATAGCTGAACGAAAACGAAACCGCAGCCTGGGAAAGTGCACTCATTCATAGAGGGTTCACCACTACTTGAACCGACTCAAGTGGCATAGGTGAATGAAGGCTCTCGCGTACACCTCCGATTTTGACAAGGCTAAAATAAAACTAGTCGATGGAGCATAGATCCGCAGTCCCATACAAAATAGATTTTCCTTCCGAATCTTGGGAATGGCAAGAGCTCTCATGGAAGGACCTTTATTGAGCAATGTGGAATCCATTTTCCCATTAATGAAGCGGTTCATCGACAGCGGAAAATACCCTAACGGACAACTTGATGTACTGCGGGCCCCTGCTACACTTGTGCCGCCTTCTGATTCTAGGCGTAGATTCTAATTCTGTGAGCCTAGAGGAAACTTATGCAACACTGGTAACCGCAGTGATTAGTTCGTCCCCACAAGACATCAGGTCTTCATAAACACCAAACAGGAAGCGAAGTTGAAGTTGAACACGCAAACCACTTACCCTGACCCGCATTCCATGTTCGGCGGCAAGTTTTCTTGCCAATTCGTCGTCTCTTTTTGCTAACCGAATCACTGTATGCGTCGGTTCTGGGCAGCTATCATCGTCATCATCATCACATATCTATAAGTGGCTCAATGGAAATCTCAAAAGGAAGTTTGGCACAATTCGGCTTAGTGGGGGCACCAGATGTTACTCAGGGAAGCCTGTAAAGGCCGGCTTGTAGAGACTTGTAAATTTTCGTGACCAAAGTAGTGGCTGGCTCAGTTACACGTAAGAGGACCACTATTCACTAGATATTCCTTCTTTGGGAGAGTGCGGAGGCTTCTAGCCAAGCAGAAGGGAGGAGAATAAAGGAACAGAGGAAGAAAGAAAGAGTGGAAGGAAAGGCGAAGAAAAAAAAAGGGGGGGGGAGTAAGGCTTTGCGGAAGACAGATACCCAGAGGCGCTCGGCTGTGCCAGTCTCAGCATATATGTCCTTTACTTCTTTTTCTTCCTTCCTTCGATAATTCCCCTTCTTTTTTTCCTCCCTTCGAATGATTGGCTAACAGATGCTATGAAAAAATACCTCTGGACACTCGCAGCGAGAGAAAATCCGATGATAGAACCCCTACCCCCTGGAACCCATTACCATTTCACAGCTTTATAAGAGTTTACCGTTCTCACCAAAGGAAATCTGCTAGTTAAAGATCATTCTCGCGTTCAAATCTTACGGGTAGTAATGCTGCGTTTATTACTTTGCGGCAGCGTAGCGTAGCGTAGCGCAGCGTAGCGTAGCGCTTCCAGCGGCAGTGCCGAAGAGAGGATGCATTCGATCTAAGCTTCAACACGCGTCACCTAGGCGGCCACGCTGGCCGTAACGCTAGCGTGCGCTAGCGGCACGCCAGCGTACGCCAGCGGCACGCTAGCGCACGCTGGCGTAGCGAGGGCATGGGAAGCATAGCTATCGATCTAGCTTCACCAGCGTTTCTCCAGCGTTTTCCCAGCGCTTCCAGCGGCGGGGCTAGAGAGGGGCTAGAGAGCACTGGACGGAGGAGAGTACAAAGTACTCTCCTCCGTTCAGTGCTCTCTAGCCCCGCTAGCGCTTGCAGCGACGAGGCTAGAGAGGGGCTAGAGAGCACTGAACGGAGGAGAGTACTTTGTACTCTCCTCCGTCCAGTGCTCTCTAGCCCCTCTCTAGCCCCGTCGCTGGAAGCGCTGGGAAAACGCTGGAGAAACGCTGGTGAAGCTAGATCGATAGCTATGCTTCCCATGCCCTCGCTACGCCAGCGTGCGCTAGCGTGCCGCTGGCGTACGCTAGCGTGCCGCTAGCGCACGCTAGCGTACGCCAGCGTGCCGCTGGTGAAGCTAGATCGATATGCATCCTCTCTTCGGCACTGCCGCTGGCGTACGCTGGAGCGCTACGCTACGCTGCCGCAAAGTATAAACGCAGCCTAATGCTAATCATGAATCAATAGCTAAGCAACTCCCCAGTACAGAAAGAAGCAAAAAACCTTGGGAACATTCTGAGCAGAAACCCTTAGCAGTGGGCGTTCAGACGACTTTATCGGTGGGCAACCCATCCAGCAGGATTCGACGCGCGACCGATTTCCGACAAGAGCACAGGAAATCCCCACGACGCTCCAGCTCAACAGCTATGTTCAGCACACAACCGATGTAAGCCTTTGTCTTGTAGGATGAAAGTAATCGCGATTGCAATAATCACGCGTCTTTAGCTTCTTTATCTCGCCGTTTCGAGGAACGAAAGTGGCACATTCTCTGCGAATGCGGACAATGATGTCAAATGCACGGAGGCATTTCGCGGACCGCTCGATCGCGGGAACTCTCTTTAAGGTGAACTAGCAAAAGGAACTAGTGAAGGTGCGAAATGCCCCTCCGAGCCGAACAGTGCCAATTTTTTTCGTGAAAAAATTCTGGAAAACCAACTTACCGAATCATGTTCTATTGCATATATACAAGATAACGAAAATAATACGATCAGACCCGTTCTCATACTTCTGACTAGATGAGTAGTAGCACGAACAAATAATAGTCTATTAGAAATATAGTAGTGAGTGCTATTAGCACCTCATCGAGTTAAACGTAGACGTTACTATTAGTTTCTCGAGTAGTAGATAGGGAAATGGCTCTGAAATGAATGACTTCAATATATTACACTCACGAAAAGAGATAGATATTTGGCCTCAGAGAAAAGACCGCGGCCAACGGGACTAGTAGGTATTTAATCACGTTGAACATATGCTCAAAACGTCACGCGAGGGTATACGATAACGACGACGAAACGACGACGAAATGAATGAACGAGTAGAACCGTCGGAAACGCGCCGCACTTCCTAACGTCACTACCACAACCACACGGTGGAGTACAAGCGGTGAAATGAAGTCGTTCTTCTCTCCTTTCTCTCACACTCTCACTCTCGCTCACCTCATACTTCACCATACACACTTTCTTGATTCGACCAATGAACAAATAAGATTGACGATGAATGGCATGGCATGATAATGACTACATGATAGACGTCGATGAAGACTGACAGCTATCACACAGACTGAGCCAAATAACACTGAACAAATAACGCAACAATTGGAACGATTTTCAGCGTTGGGCCGCCTCCACACGAGATGAAAAACTAAAAATCCATTGACGGTAAAAAATACCAAAAAGGATTTCGAAAAGTTCCCGATACCTCGGAAATCCTCCCGGAGCGCCTTCTCGCATGATGTAAAGGGTACACGCATACACGCACAGAACGTAAAAACACTCTAGTTTTCTTCATAAGAATGCTGAGATATTGGCAAAAGTCAGACCCGGGAAGGAACTCCCCGCACCTTCCCGCTTACCGGGCGGTTGCAGTGGCATTCTGGTGATGAGCAAGAGTGGCTTTGGTAGCGTAATGGATAACGCAAGCGCGCGGTGAGCGGGAGCTGCGAGTTCGAGTCCCGTCTCGGGTCCGACATCTGCCATATCTCAGCATTCCCGTGATAACTTTCGGAGTGCGGCGTTAAACAGCACTTATCGAAGTGAGGTGTTCTAGTTTTCCCTTATTCGCCAGGGGGATACTGAACGCGATCTTCTTTTAAGAAGACTACTTTCACATGCGATATGTTGCGGGCGCTCAGGCTGCGTTCATACTTTGCGTCTGCGTTCGCCAGATTTCTCAACTTTTCAAGCGTTCGTAAGGGTTTTGAGCGACTAGGAAGGTATGATATCGATATACCGTTTTGAGCGTGCGCCGGCGTTTCAATCGTTTTCATGGGCAGTTTATAGCTTGGGAAAAACTGCTTGCCAGAACGCTCAAAACGATAAATCGATATCTACACTTTCCAAGTCGCTCGCGTACGCTCGAAACGCTCAAAACGCTGGCGTGCGCTGACGCAAACTATGAATGCCGTCCAATGTAACTGGGAGAAACGACTACGCTGCGCCTCTACTGTATCCTATCCACAAAGCTCAAACTTAGAACACAGACGACCACAGTCGCAGAGGATAGAGTCGCCTTTCGCAACTACGTCAGTGTAAAACTGTCGTCGACAGGACTTCAATAGCAATACCACATGGCGCGTGTAAATCCATCTGTGAGCAGAATGCATCACGGAAAAGTCGATACAAGCAAAATCTATCTCACGATGGTGACCATTCAAGTGAGAGCAAAGAAAAAAAGGGCAGATCACCTCTTATCCAGCGTTTAGACTTCGCGATGCAGCGCTTCTGTCGCGCGTTCGACGCGATCAATGCGCATGCTTTCGACTGCATCGATCGCGTCGAAGGCGCCGAATGTTGCTGAATTAGTCGTTGCAGCGGTCCAAGAATTGGCGGAGAAGCGCCCCCTGTCACAGTTGTTAGATATGAGCGCTATGAACGACTAAATCTTTGAAGTCGCGAAGTATGAACACATTCTAAGGCCTGTTTCTGAATACTGAGTTGGATGAATAAAGCAGCACCTTCAAGAGAGGCTGCTCATAATACTTAGGCCCAGCCACGAAAAATTACTTCATTATTTCTTTTGTTCAAGTATTCATGGCCGTACTACACCTACGCCCTGCAAAATGAAAAAATCTTTTCAGAAGAAACTTCCACAAAGGGGAAGTGCACTCTGTTCGAATAAAATCGATTCTTGGAATCATAAAATTCCTTCGGATTCTCAACACTTCTAGAAATGCACGCACTCCAAATAGGCAATAATTACAAATGTGCATAAGCTATGTCATCTTCTGTAATAGGGCCTGGATGCTATAGGAAAGCACATCTATGGACGAATTCAAAGTTCCCTGGGATGAAATAATGAAAGTGTGAACTCACAAATGAAAGTGTGAACTCACACTGAAAAATCTAAACGGTACAGCGGATGGAAACCAGTCAATAAAAAGATTTTAGACGTAAGGGGGGGGGTGAGGTGATGTAGCCCGCCCACACAGTTGGTTCATCCATTTCTCGTTCTTTTATTTATCAAAAAGAGCTACACTTCCTGCGAATTGATGCCAAACTGAAATAATGACCTCATAAAACTGACAAATGGCAACCAATACAAAGGCGTAGTCCCACTCTCGATTTGAAGCCTTAGAAGGAACCCGCTACTTTTTAGCCCTGAAAGCACTCATAGAAAGGAAAATTCATAGTGTGTCACAAAGAGGTGAGCTTTTGGCCAGTTAACGGTGAATGTTTAAAAACCTTTTGATTCAAAGGTGGCGAATATCACGCGACCAATGAATAACTAATGAGAATAGTTAGACCACGGAGCAACATATTCAGGGGGCTAGACTCATTTAAAACCGCACCAAAATGGTTTCGACGCGCTAATTACTAGAGGAAAATCAATGAAAATTTGATGAACTCGAAAAGAGCAAACTATCCATTAGCAAATATAACAACAATGATATTCCCATCTAAAGGGCAGTGCCAAAATATGAGGACGTTCTCGAGTGTGGACCCACCCTTTGCACACTTGTAAAACTTGGAACCAAGCCATAAGTCGCCACATAGATCATAATATAAAATCCAGCTCCATACTGATTGGTAAAGGGAAACTGCACCTAAGTACTCCACGCAAAGAGCTTTGATTACATGTCAACCATCCTCACCATTAATGCCTTAATAAAATTGAATAGCTAGTCATTTTGGCTACACTCGAAAGCTCGAAATAAAATAAGCATTCGAGGAGCTTTTCTGTAAGAAAAAGAACCTCAAGGCAGCTTTTATACTTTTCGTCGGCGTGTTCAGTGGAAAGGACAGGTATGGACCTTCCCTTTTAAACAACACCAGCGTTTTGAGTGCTTTGAGCGGATTCGCGAGTAGGGTATAGGTATAAATCCAGCGTTCACAGCGAAAAGAAACTATAGGTATCGATCAGTGCTCAAATTGATTTACCTTTGCTTTCTTTTTCGCTCGCAGCGCAGCTCGAAACCTATATTTGCCTTTTAGCCTAAAACAACGACGAAAACTATGGACGCACCTTAGCTGTCCAGTTGCGTGATTTCCGCACAAATTTTCAAGTGAGTGTGAACAGGAAGAGCTCGTTAATATCAAGTATAATAGTGGTCGCTTATATCCTATTTTTGTATTGAAAGACGCACCCATGTATAGGTCACACCTTCGCTTTGAGCGCCCTCGTCTCTTCTTCCTCACTATGATTTTGCGTATTTTTGTTTACTCCTATCCATATCAATGATATATGTTCAACAAGAGTATTTTATAAGACTAAACTATCCAAAAAAGACACTAGAACTGCCTTGTGTCTACCACTTTTCGCGTTGTCGCGTGCGACTGTGCGATATGCACCTTCACACCAGAAAGTAGGTTAATCTTCGCAACGCTTTCAGTTGTACACAACGCTGGCGAAGTTGCAGATAGTAGGTGAGAAAACCAAGAAATCAGTGAAGAAAGTAAAGAGCTCCAAAAAATAGGCCGCGTTCATACCTGGCGACCGTAGAGAATCGGGGATCAATCAATACATATCTACACTCTAGCGTATTCTTCGATTTCTCAGGCTGATACGCGTACTCTCCTTCTCGAAGATCTTGCAAGTTCTACAACTGTCCAGTCGCAGTTACAAAGTATGAACGCAGCTTTAGCGCAGACTGTGTGCTAGAATGCATTGAACGAATCTGAGCTGGCCGTGAAATTTGTTGTAAAAAAGATGTAAACATAAACTGAACACCGAAGTAAACATTAAAGTGAAAAAGTGCTAGTCATACGAAGGAGCCAGTTCCGTCCACTTCTTTTCACATTCGCGTTTTCGCTTTCAAACAACATTCGCTGGCAAAACATACTCCGCAGTTTGATAGATATTTAAACGCTTCGACGTATAGCATCTACTACTTCTTCAGATGCATCATTTTGTTATATCAGCTAATGGGGAAATATAACGAACTACAACCTACAGAAAACTGAACTCAAACGGCAAACATGGGACTCAAATTTGTAACTGAACTTTGAGTTTGATTTGGACCTGATGCGAGACAAATCAGAGGAAAGGCGATGAGCAGGTTTGATGGCAGTGATGGTTAGATGCGCTGAAGCGAACACAAAGAGGAAAAGGTAGATAAACCCATTAAAGACAAGAAAATGGAAAGTTACAGCGCACTTTGAGTGAAAGAATTCGCCAAATAAGGAGAGTTTTTTTGCCGCTCTTTGTGCTTCACAATTCTTTCATGAAACTATCTAACGCGAAAGGATTCCAGTTGAACAGCTCGCTCAAAGAGTTTTCAGCTTTTAGCCTTTTCCGTCAGCGTCATTTTCAAATTGAGATCGAGTTTACGTGCATTTCATCGACGTAGCTCGTCGTGTGCATGTGCTCATCAGTGTAATGCACGAATAGCAAATACCTAAATGCTTCCTGGTCATGACATCGTGAGGCTCTTACGCCTTAAACCAATTACGTCCTAAAACGAATGACGCGCACATAGCACGGACGTTATGACGTCGCTTAGATCGCGTTCAAACTTCGGAATCGAACTGCGCGCGACCACGACCGGAGCGCTCCACCGCCAAACGAG